CTATTTTGTTTGGTTTTTCCTCGAAGTAGGGAAATCGAGTGAATAGCGCGAAATTGAGTGGTTATGACATCAGAATATGACGGAGGAAGAACGGTACTACTGACCTTCTGGCAAATGAAGACGTTTGTAACGATGACGAAAACCAAGGTTTGAGTGATCATTCTGCTTGTCTTGCAGTTAAGTATAGGTTTTTTTGAGTGATCAAAAAGCTTTTGTGTTTGCAAAAATTACTGGAACATTTGCCCTGACAGTTGCTCATTATCGAACACAGTATACACTTAGTCGTTGAGGAGAGGTCAAATCGTTGTGATGTCTCCAGTGCTATGAACTGCTTACTTAAGATTACGACCCATTCGTCATAACAAAGACAAACACATCACAATGCAAAGTGGAGAGTGGTTTGTGGGATGGAATTCTCAAGATTCCTTTAAATATAGTCTGTTCCTCGTCGATAGGACATTCATCTGTTATGTCTCTCCTGGATTCCTGGTCTCTTTCTTCGATAGTCCACGACACTATTTCCTCTGGACTGACTTGACTAAACAATAAAGATTATAGCAAAAAGAGTTTCCAGCAACCTTGTGAGTAGTTTTCATTGGGAAAAGACTGGAAATCCTCTACACTGATACTGTTTTCTGGACCGCCAGGTACACGCACTACCAGATCTTTTTTGAAAATCTCCCATTGTAGAATACTGATAATTCAGCTATTGACTTTAGCGAACTAGGTTTCGAGTACTTGTGAAGTCAGAATAAAAGCATACGACTTTCAACTCAGATATATGTTTCATGTGAACCTTGTGTATGCCATCATATCATCCTCAAAATATTGTTCCTGGAGAGCTGCCTAATGCAACCTGGAACAGTCTAGCCTTAGACGAGAGCTAGATTTCCAGTGAGGAATTTTCATCAATTGATCTTAAGCAGGTCTTGAAAGGCCGTCTGAGCTTTTGCCAGTATCCATCCTAGGTTGAGAAAATGTTGATCTTCTAGAAAGTTGACAAACTTTGGAAATTTCGATGAGAATATTTTTAAAAAGGGAATAGAAACGAGCGTGAGAGCACGGATCGCGTTGGCAGGCTCAAATTGGCAGGCCAAAGATGTCACCAGCATTAACTCCTATCAAGAAACCAAACTTCTGCTGAAGACCAGAACAGTGACTTTCAGTGCATAGTATCACAATCACCAAATGTGCTGCTCAACAGTCTTTTCTGCACACTTTTCCAGATATTTGCAGATTTATCCGCGAACCGGTATACTGACTTTGGGTCACGTATGTATTCCCTTGGATAGTTAATGCAATTACTCTCAGCATGCTTGCTGTAGCTCCCCACCGACCTTTTACGCCAGCAACCATAGAAATTCGCCCTCGGCAAATCGGTCAAGAGGAAGCATTGGACTGGTCCACCTCGCGTACCCTGTGCACCTGCAATGAACACTTTCAGCCCCTTTTAAAAGAACCGCTTACGAACAAATAACCGGACCGTCCAATATTCTCGTCCTGCCACAATGGACCTCTCCTGTAGAAGGTGGTAGATCATATAGGGAAGCCAGAATCAGGATTATCGGTGATTTGTTCAAATGAAACATCGGCCAAATCTGGAGGCCCTTCAAATACCGTGTCCCCAAAACTCTTGAGATCAAGCTGACAGAGCTTTAGAGCTATTCACTAGCCAACTCACTGGTTATCAAGAAAGCATCTCCCGATCAAAGCTTGGTTTACCGTTTGACCGACCCATGTGGTCTACCTTGTTAGACGTGATACCATTTTAAGTAACCAGGACGACCGAATAGCTGGGCATACATACGTCGCTCAACAAATGAACGCCACTGACCAACCTACTGTCCTGGCAGTTATCACAACTGCTATTGGAGCGGAATGGCTTATAAAACAAAAACAGCTAGAAAATTTTGTGGCATTGGGAAGATCTTCCCTGTCGTTTGCAATATGCCAGATAGGCATCACTATCTCGGTTGTTAGTGATAGAGTGGTTTGCTGGATGCACAATGCTACACACAGCTGACTTCCGAATCTCGTAATAAGTGAACTGGCTGAAGTTTAGTGATAGATGGTTTGCTGGATGCACAATGCTACACACAGCTGACTTCCGAATCTCGTAATAAGTGAACTGGCTGAAGTTACAAGAATAACCTCGATTAGAGAGCCTGGACAAGATTGCAGTAACAGAAGATGAAGTCTCGGGAGTCTTCGATTGCTCAAACAAAGATAAGGTTTATGGAGATACGGTTTCAGTGAAACTGCACGAAGCATTCGTTTCCGTATTCTTCAAACCACTTCTCTCATTGTGCGATCCCGTTCGAAAGAATGAG